CGCCGCCTCTCCCGCACAGGGGGCGGGGAGGGGGCCGCGGGCACTCATCCTGCTCCGGCAGCCTCCGGGCTGGCCGCCGCGGGGCAGAGCGCGAAGTTGAGCTTCTTCATGGTTGACATTTCCTCGGCGGCTCGGTTTTACAAATGAGAAGGCAGAGCGGAGCAAGGGCGGCGTGGAGGCAGCACGGGCGCTTGCTCCGGCACCGCTCTCGCCACGTGTGGCTCCGCTGGAGAGGGCTCGAAAGCCAGGCGGGAGCTGCGGGTCCTGTGCTCCCCTTCCCCTGAGCCCCCTGCTCTCAGCCCAGGCTAGTCTCAGTCTAGACACCGCACCAGCCATGTATAATTCAAGGGGATTCAAGCCAGATGAATCAAGCAAAGCTATTAGTAAGAGCTCAGAAGACATTTAATGTGTGTGAAGCATGTTCAAAATGTCAACATCTCTTCATTATTCAGATGAAAGGGGAGGGGGGAACTGCTTTTAGCTTGTTCCAAGGATTTAGGCCGCAAGGAGGAAACTCAAGAGAGGGAGCAACCAAGGTCTCAGGCAGCACAGCAGTGACCCAGGGTACAGGAGCAGTCAGGCAAGCTGACATTTGCAGCAGCATGCAAGCACCACAGTAGCACATTTTTGAAATAACACTTGTGCTGCTCTGACTGCATATTTTGCTACTATTCACGAGACTCTTGTGGTTAGTTCTTGTAGGTAGGAAAAGATGAAAAACTTGGGGAAAGGGGGAAAAAGGGGGAAAAGGGGGAAAAAGGGGGAAAAGGGGGAAAAGGGGGAAAAGGGGGAAAAGGGGGAAAAGGGGGTTGTAAGATGAAAAACTAGGAACCAAACCAGGAGCACATTGAAGCAGTGTAGGTAGCAATGCGGCTGCTCTCGTTGGCCCACTGAAGTTCATCCCCAAAAGAAGGCAAGTTTAATGGCACCATAATACGGTATCAACCCATCCTTTCTCCTCTCCTTCCTAACAGCCAGTTCCTCACCAGTAATAGCTGTTCCAGCCAGTTCCTCACCAGCCTGATAGCACTGTTTGCAGTGGTAGGAGGAGGCTGGACCTTTGAGGCCACCACTGTCTCCTGTAAGTTCCCATGCTCAACACCACCACCATCCTCCGGATCATGTCAGGTGCCTCCAGGACACATTTTCCCTGTTGGTCAGTGATGACTGCATGGGTGTGATGGATGAGATGGTGCAGTGCCTCAGAGCTGCTCAAATCAAACCCGCAGATAAGATGGGAGGGTAAAGAAAGTGACACGAGTGTAGACAATTGTGTCTACACTTTTGTAGGAGCAGTAGTTGAGTGAGTTAAGTAGTTGAGTATAAACAACTGTGGCTCACTTCTGAGCTGGTCTTTCCCTTTGCTGCTACTCTGAGCATCACTAGAGGTTCAGAAGAGCATCTTTGCTCCAGACCTGCTGTCTCGGCACAGGACACCTAGTGTGTGCAATACAAGATAATCCCCAGCTCCTGTTTAGCCCCACAGGATCCAGACCCTGTTCTCACACCAGGTCACTGCTTTACCCACAGCTTTCTTTTGGCTCCAGCACGGTGGGATGTAGGACAACCAGCAGAACTGCCTGTACAGAACATTGAAGGTAGGTGGGAAACAGGCTGAACATCACCAAGGCCAGATCAGTACATCTGTTGAAAACAGGAGAAAGTCAGCGTGCCCCATTCCCACCGTTTATCTCATCCCTTCCTTCACTCCATATTGCAGCTCTGAGTCATTCCCTCTGCACGAAAGCAGGACCCCAGGGCAGTGCTTGGCTGCTTATTCACAAGCTCTTCCTCCACTCGGTCCGTGCTGGGAAAAACAGCACCCATGGTGCTCGCCCCGGGGGGCAGCTGGGGAAGCGCAGGCTCCCACCGAGCCTGGGCTCGAAGCTGAGCATCTTGCCAAGATCGGGCCCAGCGTTTTCAGCAGAGACTAGGAACTCAAAACAAACACTTTTCCAGGTGTTCAAGATGGTCAAAATCACAGATTGCTGTTAAAAATACACGTTTTTAACTCTCATGATAACTAAGAAAAGCCTGAAAAATAGGATCTCTGCACATAGTGATTCTTATAAAATGCAGGATAAATAACAAGCATTCAGCAGGAAAGCCTTGAGCTGCAAGGCAATGCTGTTCTGGAGGCTGGGCTGAGGGTTGGAACGTGCAGGATGACAACAGGTGCCTCCTGCTGTTGGCCACCATCTCCTGATCCACAACGATCAGGATCCATCTCCTGATCCCACTACAAGTCAGCCTCTGGGCTGCAGTTGCACATTCACAACAGGCACCAGAAGTGAATCAGTGCAGACACCCAGTGAAGCTGCAGGGAGGCTGAAAGAGCAGCTAGGAGAGAAGTGGGAAATGCCAGCGCTAGGCAGGCAGGCTAGCACGAGCTCAGCAATGACAAAGCTGACATTAACCTTTTAGGCTGACCAAGCTCATAAATAAAAAACATTAAGTGTTATCCTATCTGCACCTGCACAAACCACTCCGAGTAGCCTTTCAGCTTGCTGTGACAATGACACGTGCTTTGCCAGAGCCACAAGGAGCATTTCAGCCTGACCCTACTAAGAAGGAAGGAGAGCAGAAGAGCCACGCAGCCCCGGGCTAACAGAAGGCTGTGAAGCGGAGCAGGGAGCCCTAGCTACGTGTACGATACCAAGGAGCAGATTCAAAGGATATATATGAAATCAGAGCAGCAACCTGGGCTGGAGATTTGCCTAGCAACATTTTAGATGTATTCAGAGTTGGATGAAAGAAGAGGAAGAGAAGCACAAAAGAACTGGATTATTGTGATAAGGACCAGGTCCTGAAGACCAGTCAAGAAAGTGTACACATACCCTGGAGGTGCAGGAGATGGAGGTGGGTGAAACAGGCAGACAAGCGGGCCGGCTCTTCCTAAAGCTGAGCTGGGATGTGGGTGCCTTGCTCTGAGTCCATGCGGGTGTTGTGCCAGGTATTATACAGCCAACAACCAAATGCAGCTTGAGATGTTGCTCCTAATGGAAAGGGTATGTCAGACAGCAGCAATGAAGCCATTAGGTGATGGAAAGTGATGGTTTCTGCCCCAAATTTTGCCGCCCCCACCCGCCCGTGTCCGTGCTGCAGTTGGTGGCTGAGTGCTGGCACTCACAGACAGGACACAACGGCCGGGACAGACCAGCCACCCACGGCTGCAACACAACCACTGAGCAGAACCTGCCTGTCCCTTCCATGGACCACAGCGTGACATAAAGGGCAAAAGGATGGTGACACCCCTGCCTCTCCTTGGCACCCACCTCCCACCCTGGTGTTAACCTGGGCAAAGCCTGAGAGCTGAGGTGAGCTAATTCCTTCCCTAACCCTCAGCAACAAGGGCCGGGCCTTGAGGCTGGGTAGCAGCAGAGTTAGGGGCAGTTTCCCTGCCCCTCTGCATGGCTAATCCATTCTTTCATTGATACTTCATCTACTACATCGTCTGTCACTGATACTTGTTCTTTCCTCATAAATAAGATAAAAAAAGCACAGTTTTAATGTTCTTGACAGAGCAGGACTCCTAAGTAAGGTAGAAGGAGCTGTAAGGAGGGGTTTGAAGTGGGAGACGGCAAGAGCTCTGGGCAAGATACATCTCAAAACCCTTTGAGTGATTTGAAGGATGCAGTGCTATTTCCTGCACTCGCAACAGCTTCTCCCTTGCAACTCTGTCTCTGTCAGAAGAATTCTTCCTGCTGCTATGGCCCTGAGGGGTAGTCCAGAGAGAATATGAAGTATGGAGGAAAATAAACAAGCAAGCCTCCTAGTTCAAGTGTTCAGCAAGCCTTCAGATGTGAAGGGGCACCCAGGATGCATCAAGAAGCTGAGCACTGTGAAAGCTTCCACGGTCTGTAGGTTTCCTTTAGTGGTCCCCATTCGGGGGAGTGATCTCCATGCATCTAACTTGGCAGCTCAGCTCTTTTCTGAAACGTTCTTGGATTTTTTGCAAGAATTTCACTGGAGCTGTCATGAGTGAAGAGGAACCAGGTCACCAGTGCACTGTTCCAGTATCACCTTTAGGCCAGTTGGAGAAAGGGCAAAGAGATTGCCAGTAAAGTTCAATGATCAGCAAAGAAAGATAATAAAGCTTTAGAAGAAAACAAATTTATAATGTTAATTAGCAGAAGGTCTCATTATTCTAATCTATAGCACCCTTCCAATTGCAATATCAACACTCAGCTCCCTTTGTCAAGTGTTTGCTTTGCTTATTCAGCACCTCATCTGAATATACCTCACACTTCCCTCCCCATGGCCATCACGTCATCTTGGCCTATGGATGACGATGCAGGCTGCTGCGACACTGTTAGTTTGCATCTCACTCGGTGTACTAACAAAAACCTTTGGATTCCTGTTCGTTTCCGACTCTAATTCTGCTAGTCCTCATGAGTAATGTCACTCTGGTCTAGTTACTTCATGCTCCCCACTTATCTTAGGGCCAACTTCCTGGGCTTGATTCATCCCCTGTTCCCCCTTTGCCCCCAGTCTCTGTCTGCTAGAAAATGCAGATGACAACTCCTCTTCTCTCCTGTCCCCATCCTCAGGTGAGGACACAGCTCATGCAGCATTCCCACCATTTTTCTAAGCCACCCTACAGGATGCAAGGCAGCACAGCTCAGTAGCAATGCAAATCACAAAATGTGGTTGCATAACGTGAAGCATAAAACGATTAAGGCAACAGCTGCAGAGCTCACTGACTACCGCTGTGCCTGTGGGGAAAACATATATTT